GCTTCTTTGCATAGGCGGCACTTACTGTCTGTTGCTGTCTTCTCAATTTTGACTTTGTATGCATTTGTCCTTAAGGCTTGGTCTTGTGCAGCCAGAATTAGTCCCTCGGTCTCTTTCTTCAATTTTCCTGCTCTTAGCCATTGCCAGGTCTTGTTATTATCTGCTTTCCCAGCTATTTTTTTAATGTACTGGCCATGCATCATCATCATCATCATTATTATTATTATTATTATTATTATTATTATTATTATTATTATTATTATTATTATTATTATTATTTATTTATTATTATTATTATCATTATCATTATTATTATTATTATTATTATTATTATTTATTATTGTTGTTGTTGTTGTTGTTGTTGTTGTTGTTGTTGCCAAGAACTGTAGAGCTCTCTGCTGAAAAGTATGGATAGCTTAGTTTGGAAAGGTTGCTTGCTTCCTTCCTTGGTGCATCCTAAATTTTTGGGTGAGGTCTAAACAGAAGTTCTATATTTCCTGCACTCTTAGTCAATTAGCAACTCCCACTGGCATATCTTGAGCCGGCTTTCTTCTCTCCCATCTTTGCCCTTTCCTGTCCAGCACTGCTAACACTTTTGTTTCTTCTTTCTGTTTCCTGTTTCCACAGGGAGTATGGAAGGGTAGGTGTTGACGTATGTGTATTTCAGCTTTTCCATGTGAGAGATTGGTTGGTATACAAATATGGAGATACGCTGATTTTATAAATGGGATGTTTTATTTTATAGGGGACTGAGATTAATCATTGTTCATTCAAATAATTTGTTGGGTTGTGGTTTCTGACAGGTATAGCTATCTATATGCACATACAGTACCTATACAAGTGGGCCTCATTCATACAGTTTGGGTGGACAGTAAATTTCCAGCATTAGTTTCAGCTAGAGTTGGCAGTTTACATTAGCCATATGGGGAAATTTGCATTTTAAATGTTCTTTCTTTCTTTCTTTCTTTCTTTCTTTCTTTCTTTCTTTCTTTCTTTCTTTCTTTCTTTCTTTCTTCTTTCTTCTTTCTTTCTTTCTTTCTTTCTTTCTTTCTCTTCCTTCCTTCCTTTTAAATTAAGGATAATCTTCCTTTAATGTAGCATAATGTGGCATAATCTTGCCTACCACATGATAGTCTTAAATTAGTCAGCATCTATTTCTCCAGTAAGTGGCATCTTCTGACTGGATTACTGAAATGCATTCTAGATGGATTCTTTCATTGTAGACCCATTTTGTTTTTTAAAAAGTGGCATTAAAAACATATGCAATTGCTTTTGTGAACACTCTTTTCCTTTTTTTTTATAGAAAAAAGACTATATCTTATTGCAAAAGGATCTCATGAAGAACATAAGGAATTTAGTTTGGGTTTTGACTTCTGTATGAAATCTACATTTCACTATATTAAATATAAACACCTAACATTGGATATTAGATTACCAAAGAAGGATCTAGATTATTTATTTGTGAGTTTATCAAATGTTATTTTCTTATTAAAGGCTCTCTTTTTCTTATTGTATCAGTTTTGAACACATTTATACTGAAGAATGGCACAAATTGCACAGAGATAGAAGAGAATATTTGTAGCTTAAGGTTCAATCACAGGATCTTTTGGACTCTCTGAGCTGGTGAATGAGGGCAAATATACGTGTCCCAGGATAATGTTGCAGGATCCAATCTGTGTCGGTCACCGGGACCAGAGTTTTTTGTCTTCCGAGCTTTCAGACTTGTGCTGGAGCCCATCTCTCTACTAGAGAGACGTTCCCTGAGGATGGGGGCTCCAGCACAAGTCTGAAAGCTCGGAAGACAAAAATCTCTGGTCCTGGTCATTGACCCAGATTGGATCTCTGAGCTTGATTATTTTCTTGCAGACATTTCATTACTCAGCGAGGTAATATTAACCAGTGTTAGAAGGGAGTGGGATTTTGTTCTTGGTTTATATACTTGTGACTTGTCCTGTCAGTGTTGATGAGAGTGGTCCTGATGGTTACTTGATTAGACTGTAGTTTACTATTTATTTGTCTGAATTGGTGGTTCTTTCACTGGGCTATAATGCTTGATTGGTGGTCTAATATTAATCTTTGTGTTAATCTCTGCCTATCTGGGTATTGATTGATTGCATATCGTCCTACTTTCTACTCTTTTGGGTACACAAGTGTAATTATTTTTCCAGGAGTCATGTTCTTATAATAAAGAAGAAAAATCTGTAAAAGTGGAAGTAAATGCAATTCCTCAGACCAAGAAAATAGTATTAGCTGAGGTAAGAGTAGAATTTTGCTGAATATTGGTTTAAACTGCTTCCATGTTTTAAATTGACTTCTCCCACAATCTGGGCTGAGAGGGACGGGAAGCTAATTTATCTCTGCCATAGCACATGTTCTAACTGAACTATGGTTACGATGGTATGATCTGCATGAGAAAAAAAATCTCAAATGTGTATGAAAATAGTCTGGAATAGAAGGTCTGCACCAATTTCTATCAATTGTATTTTTAAAATCTATTTTTGCAATATAAAGGTTCCAAAAAGAACGATGTAGGTATGCATTTTTACCAAAGATTCTTGATATGTTCCATAAATTGCATGCTTGGAATCATGTAATAATATATTAGTTAAGTAAAGCAACAGAATGCAGAACCATAGAATTTAATCAGAAGATGTTGTTGCTTTGATGAATGGACTGTGTTTCTATTCATGCAGAGGAAATATTTTGCTCTTTTGACTGCAGTCCTCTGTACTTCTGTTTCTTCTGTTGAATCCTACAGACCTCAGACATAGCAGTGGAAAAATCAACATACCATCTCAATATAATCAATTGCATTCTGAACTTGAATTCCAGGTTCTTTGCATCCAACAAATTTTACTGATTTATCTCAGAAAACAACACTCTAGTTAGAACCATTATTGCATTAATTACAAATTATGATAAAAGTAATAAACAGCAACTGCTATCACCAACCTATGCTTCAAATGTAAAATTAAACTTAAAAACTCTTAAACTGAAAATTCTTCTTCAAGATTTTGAGAAATGTTGTAATATTCAGATGGATGTAAATGCAATTCATTTTTCATTAAAAACTGTATAGCTGTTTGACTGTGGTTTGTGTCTGTGTCTGTATATCTTCATGTCAATCTGGACTCCTAGTGACTGCCTGGTCAAGTCTTTGTAGTTTTCTTGGCATGGTTTCTTAGAAAGTGGTTTTACTATTGTCTTTTTCCAAGGGATGATGGAGAGTGATTAGCCCAAGGTCATCCAGCTGGCTTTATGCCTAACACTGGACTAGAAGTCACAGTCTCCTGGTTTCTAGCTTGATGCCTTAACCACTACATCAAACTTGTCAACCAAATTTTATTTTGTTGACAGCCTATATCCTGCTGAAAAATGTGTTGACTAACTACTTAAAATATACATGAAATATTCACATGGTCTCAAAAATAAACTTTTAAATTATAAGCATAAGTACTTGTGATTATATATCCCATTCAGAATAATATCGACTATCCGGTAACCAATTTATGTCTGGGGTTCTGGCCAGCAAGTGAAATGTATATAGCCACTTCTTTTTATACGTGTGCCAGAAATTACAGATGATTTCTGGAATGAAAGATGTTAATAATGTAAAGAAACCTATATTTGTATTCTGAATTTTCAGAATAAGAAATTTGCTTTGCATGTGAAGACAAAAGACTGGTAAGACATCCATCCTCTCTTGGATGGTAATGGCTACAATTTTAACTATTCTGTTTCTTTCTGTTCTATTCAATTTTATTTCCCCAACCTTTGTTTGCGGACTTGTTCCTAAAAGAATTAGCAGTGTTTGTATTACATAAGGCCAAATATTTTTCATTTCTGTTGTAATTACATGTACATGTAATATGTACGTAGGGTTGTGGCATGAATTCCAAAGTCACTTTTAATAGCAAAAGAGATGATGTAATTAGTGGCATTCTGTTTTGTACACATGGTAATCAAAATAAATACAATGGAAAAACATTGTATAAATATTGTCATTTGCCATTTAAAAACAAATTACTTTATAACTTATTCTTCTCATGTCACATTTATTAAGTAGTCACTATAGGATTATTGAAAAAAAACAAGCTGTCACTCAAGATTTCCTTGATCATTAGCATTTTCAAGTAATGAAGAAGGTTTCAAATATGAAGATGGAACAGGTATGCCGACATTTCTTTCTTTCTGTATTTAATTCAGTAAGACCAATCCTGACCTCCGCTTGGGATATGACCTTTGTTCACAAGAGCAAGATTTCTTACACAAAAGAAAGAACATTGTCACTGCTGCCTTGAAGAAGGTTCTCAGGCTAGAAAAGGACCTGCAGGACCATGAGGTGTGTATGATTCAGAGTGTCAGTTATTCCTGAAGGATTCCAATTGACCACATATAGACATCATCATGAGGATTAATCTAATCTCTCATTGTTTTGTGTGTCTCCATTTCTTCAGCTGCTCATGCAGTAATAAGAATTGCGACTTGTGAGCAAGCACTCACCAAATACCTGAAAGGAAGTTAGAAACAATATTCCTTAATTCCAGAAGGTGAAACATTTGGTTGACCATTAGGAAATGGTCAACCAAATAAATTAAATGAAAGAACTAGTTGGTGGAGAGGGTGGATTCCCTCTCATTGGGTGCTTAACTGGAGATTACACAGCCATTTGTGGGGAAAACATTAATCTGGATTTCTGCACTGTATAAGAGATCAAACCTGATGGCAGAAGTGGCTGCCTTGAATTCTATGATGTTAGAATTGAAGGCAGCCAATTCTAGCTTTTGTCACCATGTTGGCTTAATCAAAACTGAGATTCATTTTGAAACTTGTTGTGGTTAATTTATTAAGCAAAGCACAATGAATCTTGCCTGCAGTTAATTTAAATAAATTAACTTTATGTGGCTTATAAAGAAAACATTTTTAACAAACTAATGTTAAGATTGACAATAATTTAAGGTTTGAGAATAACTTGAAAATTAGCTTAACTGAATGGAAAGCAAAAGCTCCCAATTTCTTCTTCTACCTCTTTTAGTCTGTCTTCATTCTAATTTTAAATCTGGTATCTCTAATAATTATATTATAATTATAATTGTAATAATGCCATATTACTTATCAGATATTTAAATAAAATATCCTAGTTGAGGTTAAAGAGCTGTGTATTTACAGGTGAGGGTTCCTTTGAGTGGGAATCCCATCTGTACAAGGATTAATGAAGCAGGCTTTATAACTGTAATAGAAAGATTTATTTACAGCACATATATAATATGGATAGGTAAAGATTACTATCTAGCCCAGGGGTGTCAAACTGCATCATGTGGAGGCCGTGCCCATCCCAGCTCCGGCAATGCGGAAAAAGTCACAATACGTTGCGACACGTCACATGACGCGGCGAGTTTGACACCCGTGATCTAGCCTGACACCCGTGATCTTACTAGGAAGTGAGTCAAAGGAACATGTGCTCTATATGCATCTGAGAAGGAAGACAGATGGAATTGACCACAAATAGCATTCTTATACACAAACAGCAGGCACAGTGATAGACAAAGACGAGACGCAGAGTACATCCTTAACGCTCTGTCACACCTTACTGCCACCTTGTGCCCTGGAAACAATCAAGTGCTGAAAAGTCAGTACTATTAGGATTACAATGTAATTAGATATCAATAGAACAGAATATGTGTAACTCAGAGATTAACTGTGGAGGCCTTGGAATTCTCTAAGCTTGCTTCTTTTCTTGAAGATGTTTCATTACCCAGATAAGAAGCATTTGTATATTGGTGGAGGTGTTGTTTCCATTTTGGTAGTTCCTTGATTAGACCATTGTTTACTGCTTGATTGATCATCTGGAGTTAATTCTAGTACCAATCCCTGCTTATGCAAGTGTTAATTGCTAGTGAGGGGTGTTCCAGTCTTTTTGTTTCCTTTTTAGCTGTTTTATAGTTACTTTTGAGTGGTGTGTAAATGTTGTTTACCTGTTTATCTGTTGATGAATGCCAAGCTGCCAGGAATTCCCTAGCTTTTTCTGGATTTAGCTTGATCTAGTATACTCACAGTTTCTAGTTGAATCTATGGTTAAGTCTGTCCATATGTTGTGAAATTAAGGAATTTTCATCATGTCTTCTCACTGCTAGCTGGTGCTCCGGCTCTTGGTTTACTTAAGATGTTTTGGAGGGCTTTAGTTAATTCGTATGCTACATTGATGCATCTGTTGGTTGTTTCTGAGATGTTTTGATATCTGGCACTGTTATCCTTTTTCATAGCTTGCATTGGTTGTGCTGCAGAGGATTGAGTGTCAGATACATTTTGATGAAGTAGTTGGTAGTTACTTTGGTAGTGGAGCATTTAGTTAGTGTGGGCGATTTTTCAATAGACTTGTGTTTCTCATTTGCCATCATTGTTTAAGGAAACTTTCCTGTAGAACTCAAAGAGACTTATTAAAAATGATGGGTGCCAAACGTTTAATTCCATAGTTACATAATTTTTTCATTAACAGAGTTAGTCTATGTGGAAAGATCTATTTTTAATAACTAGGACTAAATGTAAAGGCATACTTATTTGGTTGCAAGGCTATTTTTGTTTGGATATGTTAGTTATGCTGAATTGTGTTAGTTATGTTGAATTCTGAATGTTATTTATGCTGCATCAATATGCTGAACCTGCTGCTTCTTTCTTAAAATGAGATACTTTTACATATTTAAATTGTAAATTACAGACACGTTTTAGCACCTCTGAATAGTTTACATTCCTAACCTATTTATCATAAGCAAATATTTTATGCTAAAGATATTAATCAGCCAGGTAATTCTACAAACTTTTTATATGATTGCTAGCCAAAATTTTAATAGCTTCATTTTGATTGTATATGCCCTACATAATTAGCTTCTCTGTTTTTGATATATTAATAATGCAAACATTTCTGATGTGCAAATATAATTCAGTAGGACACATCTTAACATAATATATGTCATGAGTTAATACCATGTGCCCTTTTCACACATCTTCACATCCATTAGTTAAAAGAATAGAATTACATTTTACTACAGCTGACGAGAGTCATCCTGAAATGGCAGAATATAAATGTGATATATAAATAAAGAAATAAATTTTAGTGCATTATATTCCTATAGTGTAGTGTATACTATATAATGTAATATAAATCATATATAATGTAAATAATTTTATAATTTATAAAGATATAATAAACATATAATTATATATGTTTGCATTGCAAACTATAAATTACATTATACTACAGTAGTATAGAATACAGTAGTATAGAATAGTATTCCTATGAATATATCACAAACTGGACCATAATAAACACAGAAGTTGCCTGTCAAGTCTTTGAGATTAAGAGAGAAAAAGTTGGGGTGAGCTGGGAAGACTCTGAGATGGCTTATGCAGCTAGTATTTCAATAAACCAGTAAAGGAATGGATCCAATAAGTTATTAAGAAATTGTTGGGTGCTATCATGTTTTCCCAAAAAGAAGAGAAGTCTGAATTTAAAACAATTGCCTCCATAAAGATAGATGTCTGTCGGTATGTATGTATGTATGTATGTATGTATGTATGTATGTATGTACATATACGTATCTATATGTATACATATTATGGGAAGGATCTATACATTTGTATAAATTGTATTAGAAATATAGTATAAGAAATCACATATTGACTAATCAGTGAAACAAAGTTGCTAATAGCTGACAGGAACTCAGGAGAGGGGATGGGGAAAGCTGACAAGCAATAATAGAAATGAAATCCTTTAAACCAGGGGTCTTAAACTGCTGGCCCCTGGGCTGGATGCGTCATGCCAAAACCGCCCCCACCCCATTGCTGGCAATGGAAAAAAAGTTGCGATACGTCGTGACACATCACGTGACATTGCGAGTTTGACACCCCTGCTTTAAACTCACAAGCAAACATAAGAATGAAATACCATACTTATTTTAAATTATACAAACAAGTCAGCAAACACACAAAACCTAATCTGTACTATGCAAACTTAATTATAACACTTATAGCTTAAAGGAAAAGATTCAATCATCGCTTGATTTAATCAGCTCTTTTTCTGGGTTAATAAGAATGCCAAAAATAAACAAGGAAAATCAATTAAGAAACTGGTTTAGGATACTATAAATACTGTTGCTAGAATGTCTATGGAGATTCTCAGTCATCCAGGTCATGGTTGTCCCAAAGGTCCTTTTTTTTCCACGAGGCAACTGGACTTCTTGTGTTTTTTTTTGAAGACGTTTCTTCAAGATATCTGCAAGGAGTATAAATCCTGCCATTGCCCACCATCCAGTCAGAGCTGAAGAAGCTTCTTGGATGAGAAGCCAAAAATCATCAAAGAAAAACAAGAAAGTCCAGTTGCCTCACAAAAAAAGCACCTTTGTTGCCAGAATGTTACACACACATACACACACACACACATCATTTCATAAATGGTAAAATGATGCCCATATGGAGTTCCCTGGAGTGTCTTATTTAATGGACACAATGTCCTCTCTTCCCACCTCCAGACAGTAGCAGCAGCAAAGGGTATTTGTAAAGGGAAACATGGGAAGGTACAGAAGAAGCCCTAGTCTAAATCCTGAATTTTGTTGTCTCTTTTCAAAACTGAGAGTTACATGCTTGTTTATTTTTTGAGGTCCCGGTAGTTGCCATCATGACAACAGGGGGCAGTATGCGGTCACTGACTGCATGCTATGGAAGTCTTAGAGGTCTTCAGAAGCTCAATCTCCTAGACTGTGCTACATACCTGAGTGGATTGTCTGGCACAACCTGGTAAGGGCATTAAGGCGTATTTGATGCTAGAAAAATAAAATTTGCTCAGTGTCTGTGCTCTTTAATTACTTGGGTAGGGCATGAAATTACTGACCTACTTGAGAAATAAGTCTGTGACTTGCTGCTTTCCGTTTAACTTTATTTGCATTAAAAAGAGAAATCCACTTGAGGTCTAAAGGGTATAAATGTGCCAAGGAGATTTGGGGAGATTGAAATGTATATTGAGAAAAATCCTTTTTTTTATTGAATTACTGTCTACAATTAATTGTAAGAATTAAATAGAAGTTCCATGTTGATAAATACCCCAGGTAGCCCTGAACTTACAACAGAACTTACATCGCTAAGTGATACCTTTGTTAAGTGAGCCTCACCCATTTTTTTGACCTTTTTGATGCTGTTATTAAGTGAATTTGGCTTCCCCATTGAGTTTGCTTGCCCAAAGCACCCTGGGAAAGTTGCAAATAGCGATCCAGTGACCCTGCCACCCTCATAAATACATGCCAGTTGCCAAGCCCTCAAATTCTGATCAAGTGACCTAGGGGGAATGCTGCAATGGTCATGTGTGGATTGGTCATAAGTAACTTTTTTCAGCACTTTCATGATTTTGAATAATCATTAAACATAATGATTATTATTATTGTTATTATTATAAGTGAAGGACCACCTATACGTTGGACTACAATTCCAATAATTCCTGACTACACTGGCTCTACTGGCTGAATCTAACATGGATTCCTTTCTTTGGAATATAATTATAGTATAATAGGGGAGCTGTTGCTTTAGTGGGGCATCTTAAAGGAAGGATATGTGATATTTAATCCAACCAGATTTTGTTTATATTTTTGTATTCTTTTTCCTAGGACCATGGCAAAGTTGTACAAAGATGCATACTGGTCAAGAAAGAATCTAGATGAGCAAATTCATGAAGCTAAAAGACATGTAACTAAGAGCAAACTGAATATGTTTTCCATGGAGCGCTTGGAATATTACAAAAGACAATTGCGACATCGGAAACAAGAAGGGCAAAAACCTTCCTGCATAGATCTGTGGGGTCTCCTTATTGAATATATGTTGAATGATGAGGTAGAATACCTTTTTTATACTATGATGTGAAACTACTGGTTCTTAGGCAGTTTCTGTATGACTGTGAATCCTAAGGAACCTTGCCCATGGTTTTTCTCCTGCAAGCAGATCAATGTTCGGCTGGATGGTATAGATAATATTTGCTGTTCCTAGAATCATAGACCTGTGATGGTGAACCTATGGCATGCGTGCCATAGGTGGAATGCAGAGCCCTCTCTGTGGGCATGCGCACCATTGCCCAGTCTTAGGTCTTCAGTCCCGTCCATGAGCAACCTGCATCAAAATCTCCCTGGGCAACTGGCTTTTTAAGCCGGGTTTTATAAAACCTTTTTGCTTTATGCCTCCACTGCTGTGTGCAAAAAAAAAAGGTTCAATCAATTTCAACTTCTCGCGGGAAAAAAAAAGATCTCACAAAGTTGGAATTGATTGATTGAACTTTATTTTTAGTCCCACACAGCGGCAGAGGAAGTGATGCATCGGAGCTGGAAAGAAGGTGCCACATGGGGGGGGGAGTGGTGGGAACAGGGCACTCTGTGAGGGTGGGGTGGGGCCTGTACATGGGGTAGAGAAGCAACGTGGTGGCGCTACATGGTGGTAGACCAGTTGCTTCCCTCCCCCTACCACACACCTGCCAAAGCCACGCAGGGTAAGGTTGCCATGCTTGCCCCACCCAGATGCCCTTTCCTCTCCCAAGTGTTTTTTTTACTAAGCTGCTTTTCAGCTACATTCCGTTTTTCCGTTCACTTCTCAGCCTTCGCCACATGTTTGTGGGACTATCGGTAAAAAAAAAAGTTCCATCAGACTTTCTAACTTCTCAAGGACAAAGCAAAAAGAAAAGAAATACAAAGTACAAGAAAGGAAATAAAAAATATTTAAAGAAGTGATTCCCAACTTCCATGCAACAAGTACAGATAAATTTAATATTTCCCCACTCCCTGTTAGATTTCATATATATTTCCCTTCTTCCCATAACACTTCCTCCATTTGCAATTTCAAAAATTGTAGAATAGAATAGAATAGAATAGAATAGAATAGAATAGAATAGAATAGAACTGGAAGGGACCTTGAAGGTCTTCTAGTCCAGCCCCCCCCCCCGCTCAAACAGGATAACCTATACCATCTCAGACAAGTGACTGTCCAGTCTCTTCTTAAAAACCTCCAGTGATTGTTATCATTTTAATCCAGATGTTGGAAAAAAAAGTCCATAAAAATGTCTCCAAACTTTTTAAAGAAATATTTCTTATTTTAACCCTGATCAAACAAGTCACCTTTATATTAATTGACTTCTAACAATCATGGTCTTTAAATCATTGTGTAGCTGCTATAGGATTGAATCTCCATCTCAAAAATTTCATCAAGGCTTTAGAAAATCTCTTTTGTATGTTTGCCCAGGCTTATCATTTGTATTTCCACTGTCATCTCTGTTTTATAATCCACAATTTCTTTATTTTCCAATGTTTCTGCATCAGTTAGAACAGTGATGGCGAATCTTTTAGAGACCAAGTGCCCAAACTGCAACCCAAAACCCACTTATGCATCGTCGGGTGCCGAGTGGGTGTGGCCCATTGGGTGGGTGTGGCCCATTGAGTGGGCACAGCTGCGGTGATAACGCAGACTGGGTGGGACTAAAAAGTTCAATCAATCAATTCCAACTTTGCAAGATCTTTTTTTTCCCCACGAGAAGTTGAAATTGACTGATTGATTGAACCTTTTTTTTTTGCACATGGCGGCGGAGGCCTAAAGCGAAAAGGTTTTATAAAACCCAGCTGAAGGCCTAGGACTGGGGCGACGACGCACGTGCCCACAGAGAGGGCTCTGAGTGCTGCCTCTGGCACCCGTGCCATAGGTTCGCCATCACTGAGTTAGAATTTGTTTCATCTTTTCATGCTGTCTGTCTATCTCTCTCTCTCTCTGTTTGTTTGTTTTTTCACATTTTTCTCTTTCACATCTTTTTTCCCCTTTACAGTCCTCTTTAAAAATGCATTTGCAAATGCAGAGTTTATTGTTGCACTTTAGCTATAAGTTCCTTCCCTGATTCTTCAAATATCCTTTGAAATGTCTTATGTGTCATATTGTTATCTGTAATTTTATAAAGTTCACTGTTCTTTCAGCACCCCTCAGGTTTCAAATTTCAAACCAATCATATCTTTCCTGATAGATTAAACAAGTTACATTCCCATGAAGATAATTTGTTTATTTCAAAACTTAGCAAAAATCCTAATATTCCCAAATAATCTGGCCTCTTAATGCATTTATATCTTTCTTGAATTAAATTATTATTTAGCTTTTTGCCATTTATTTTATATTCTTTAAGTGGGTAGTTTTCTAAACTTGTTGCTTGAAAGACCTCTTGTAACTTTAAAATAATTAGAATTCCAGAAAGCTAAAGAAGAACCAGATGAATCTAGTATCCTTCATTGCTTAATTGCTCCACTAGGGTTGAGCGCTTGATGGCTTCCTCCTTCTTCCAGCATTCAGACCCATGGGTTGACTGCTTGTCCTGATGTCTCCTTGAAAGGAGCTCCTGTCTGAAGCACAAGCCCAAATTGTCCTCTCCCCTCCTTCAGTGACATCTTGTTCACTTTTCTCTCACCTGGAAGTCCCATCCTATGCTTTGAAGAATAAGATTACAGGTATTCCCGTGGCACTTCTCTTGGAAAACTAATTGATATGTGGATGTCAACATTTGCAACACAACACAATTTCAGAACAGGTTATATATTTATTACAAAAGAGTATCTTATTTTCTTTCATTAACTGGATTTATATTTCCTTTTAAAATACAGAAAGACAACCATAAACTTTCTGATCAACAGAAAGCAGTGAGCGAGGGGCAGAATCCTTTCCCTATTTACACTGGCATCAATGTAAAGGAGAAGTACAGCACTATGGATTTCAAAGGTAATACCAAATTCAAAGAGGCAATGCCAAGAGATCTTTGATTAGCTAGATATATAGATTTGTTGATACTTTTATGAAACAGGGAGGGAAAATGAAATGCACATTAGTAATCTCAGACTGAAAGCCACCTCGTGGCCCTTGGATGCAAATGTCACATAGTATATGAAATCCAAAGACAGTGTGGTAATGGGCATTTTAATTATTCATTTTAATATTTTATTGCTTGTTTCTTGTTTTACTGTTACACTGTGGACCTTTTAATTTTTGTTTACAAGCCACCAGGACACTGGTGATATATAAATCCAATAAATAATCAATGATGAGTAGGATAAATATTCATATACTGATAATTAGACATAGATATTATAGTTTTGCAATAATACACAAGATTACAGTAGTCTACTAGTCTGAAATCATCAGCTGGAGCCAACTGTACTTGTTTAATCCATTCAGTTTCAAATTCCAGAAGAAACTCCAGGCTAAGAAACAGCAGCTGGTGCAAAACTGCTCAGTAAATTATCAGTGATGAGACTGTTTTTGCTTTTGAGGCATCCCAGTTTTAGAATCAAATGAAATATGTCATCATGTTATTAATCCTTACATTTTTAACTGAATAAATAGCAGCTGCAAAAATAATAAATAGCAAACTATTTATAGCTGGGCCATGTTCCTTCCATATGCCCAAATGGATATGTAAGACCACACAGTTATTTGTGTTATTACATTGAAATCTTTCATGTCTCTATCCTGATTACTGTGTGTACACACCCATACTGTTGGCAAACAATAAAACAGGTTTGTCACTGATGCCATGGGTTTTTTCAAACTCCACGTCCAACCTATGGCCCTGAGTTGTTCTTACTTTTTAGATAGAATTTTTGAACCAATACAAATAACATCAATTAAGAACAAACTGGTACATGCCATATCATTTAAGCATTTTTTTTTAAAAAAACCCTATAATTAAAACAGAATAAACAATACTAACAAAGAAGGGAAGGAAGAATACAGAAAAGTACACAGAAAAACCTCCTGTTGTTGTGTGCCTGATCTTGCCTAATGCTGGAGATAATGCACTGAGGGAATGGTGCTTTCATTTGTGTGGCTATAATTCTTTCTACAGAATGGTTGGAATTCACACCTTACGAAGTGGGAATACTAAAATATGGAGCTTTTGTTCGGACTGAAGATTTTGGTAGTGAATTCTTTATGGGGCATCTAATGAAAAAGCTACCAGAGACTCAGATCTGTTATTTGCAAGGTAATAAATGACAGGTTTGTACTTTATAGTAAACTAACAAATTTATTTATTTATTTATTTTAAAAAAATCTGAATGTACTATAATTCCATCCAAATGCACTCTATTCAAATAGTGCACTTGTTCTCTTAATACAAAAAACAGATTGTTGATTGTAAAGTTAATAATAATAATTACACAACTGTTTAACTGAGTCTTAAAATAAAGCAAGATGCTCTCGGGAATTTTTCACATTCATATTAATTAGGGGTTCAAAGCCACAAAATAGAGTGTGAGTTTTTGAGTTCTACAGAACCGTTCCTCAAACAAGATAAAACATCACCATTAACAACAACAACAATGATCGCAGTGGTAGAGGAAGAAATGTGTAGTGGTATATTCAGGGCTTTTTTTTGTCATAGAACGCCCAGAACGGAGTTCCGGCACTTTTTTTGGATGGAACCTTGTAGGGTAGGCAAGGCGGGTTGTATGACGTGTGTGAGTTCTGGCACCTCTTTTTTTTTTTTTTTTTTTTTTTTTTACAAAAAAAGCACTGGGTGTATTAAGGAAATATCAGTAAACCACATGCAGAATTAAGGAGAGAAAATAATTTAATTCTACCAATTTTGCCTTCAAGATTTACTTAATGATTACTGAGATGGGGAAGGAGATAAAAATCATTTATGTTAATTCTTCTGGGCAGGCATGTGGAGCAGCATATTTTCCCTTAATCTGCTATATTTCTGGAATAAAAGTCACAGTTCCGAAGATTTTTGGCACAAATGGACTCAAGACCAAATTATGAATATTGGTAGGTTTGTTCTCATACCACTCTTATCTCTTGTTACTAATGGTTGGGTTTTTGTTTTTTGGTATAATATTTGGTTTATTCAAAGAAAGTTAAAATACAAAATGCCAAAATGCTTTTTAAAAAAACAAAAGAATCAAAAACACAAGAAACAAGACATTAAAAAGAAAAAGTGTTTGAAAAAAAAGGAAAAAAAGACTAAAACACATATCCATAATATCCTCCCTAGTTGAATGCTGATTAATGTAATACAATAGTGTTAATTTCTCATCTCTTGCGAAACAGGCCAAAAAGATTTGAAACTACTAAATTTGTTTACAAATTGTTAGCCTGTCATCTATATACTACATTAATAACAAAATAGTTAACAAGAACAACAATAAGCATAGTATATAAAAGTATAAAAATAATTACAAATTATTATTAATAATAAAAGAAAGACAAACTTGAAATTCCAACGTTTTCTGTTAACAAATTGTTTTTGTAATAACTCATAGAAAATTTACCATGGCTTCAATTCCAAATCATCCCAAATATTAACCCTAACTGATCCTGGATCAAATACCCATATTTGTTTCTTAATACCATCTCTTATCAATTGCTGATTGATTGAACACAATGAGCATGTTACTAATGTTTTTAAACTGTATGTAAACAATGCAGAAAAAAACTCAGAAACCATAAAATATTCCACGTATAAAGGAATTTTCAGTTCCTATGAAATATAATTTACTGCATATTTAGATAAATGAAATAGTTGAACAAGAGACTTCTGGTTTGCCATTGCGGCCACCGGAAGGCAAGCTCCGTCTTCCGCATTCGGTTTCACTCTGCTGGGGGACCCTGGAAAGGGTCAAGAGTCGCCCTGTAGGGGCAACAAGCAAGGAGGGGACCCCCGCTTAATTGCGTGAGGGAAGTAGACTTTCCGCTCGATCTGGGGCAGCCATCCAAACCAGCGGACGAAAGACCGGCCATAGAAATATGGCTCGTCACTAGGCTGCAGACAGCCGAAGTCAAACTTACCACCAGGCACTTCTAAAGCAGTGTGGATGAGACTGGGTGAGATCTGAACTTCTCTTCAATCCTAAGTATTTTCTTTTCCTGTAAAAGCTGCCCAATGTATCTTCCCCCCTGCAAGGAGAAAGGGAAGGGAACTTCTATCCCACCCTCTAAGAATAGCGGTGACTGACTATCCAGGGGAGTTAAAGAATAACCTTAATCTAACTGGATTTATATGCTTCTAAAATTTGGGGACCAAAAGATTTCTTATCTTTACTGAAGACTTTGGTTTTTATTTACAAAAAAGAAATAAAATTGGAAAAAGGATTATAAAAAGTTTGGACTTAAAAAACCTTAAACGGCATTGGTGACATCTTGTGGACAAGTTTGATATTACAACTTGTTATTGTCTAAAGGGGACTTGGCTTGAAACCCAGACTACAGATAAGACTTTTTCAACTTGACAAATATCAGCTGTGAGAAGCTCAGCTGTGTTCTATACTCAGTTATAAAATTATTTTCATTCTCTGACTTTAAAGCCCTCAATTTAACACACCATTAAGAGAATATGGATGAAGACCAGGAACAGATTCTTTTTATCTTGAAAGCAATACATGAAACCATTCTTTCAGCTTGCGATGAAATAAGATGCTACAGAAAAGAACAAGATGTCAGCATAGATATACAAACCCAAATTTTGACTACAGTTAAAGAATCAACTATGCAGAAAATAACAGAAGAAGTGGAACAATTAAATACTATGATAGAGGATTCAACTGACCAACAAATACAGTCAATGAAAAATCCAGAAAAGGGACAGACAACACTGAAAATGGAAAAGACTTTCTATATAAACCAGAAGAAACTTGAGGAGCAAGAAGAAGAACAGACCAAAGAGAAGACAAACATATCAGGACAACTATGGGAATCTGGAATAATAGAGAGACGATTCACTAGCCCTTCCAAAAAAATGGGACCTGGATGGTCTCTTTTATTTCACATAATATATATAACAACAGAGGGAGATCTATTTGATGACTTAAAAGCATTGACATGGAAGGCGAGCTGGCAAAGGAAGAAAGCCAGAATAAGGCTGAAGAAAATTGGGGTTTTGATTTATTAGAGAGGATTTTATATTACTAATTAAAATAGAATATACTCAAATAGGCAAGATATGTATTTTGAATACTAGATTTTGTTATGAATTGAGATAAAGAAACTTTTGGTCACTTAAAACTTGGAAGTATAAATATTAAAAGTTAAATTTGAATATTGATGAAAAATTAAAAATTGGGGAAAACAAATAAACAGGATATTGATTGTCTATAAAGATTGAATGTAAAAGTAATTAAGATATGTATAAGCTAAAAATGTATTGATAAATGTAATAAACATGTTTATTAATAAATGTAATAAACATTTATGACCCCGGGATACTGCAACCGTCATAAATATGAACCAGTTGCCAAGCATCTGAGTTTTGATCATCCCACGGGGATGCTGCAAGTATTGTAAATGTGAAAGGCGGATCATAAATCACTTTTTTTCTGTACCATTGTAACTTTGAACATTCACTGAATAAATCTTTGTAGGTCGAAGACTATCTTTACTTTTGCAAAGGATTAAAAATCTAAGCCAAATACAGACAAATAATGTGTTTCATTCATTATAATTTCTCTTCTGTAGATGAAGAGCCTCATTTAACTATTGAACCACATGAGCAGAAGACAGACCTCTACACCCCAGCTGGACCGCTATCCAATGCTTTTAGAGATGTCCTAACAGATCGCTTATCAGTTGCCCAATACCACAATTTCATCAAAGGTCTCCAGCTAGACAATAAATACCTTGAGAATGAAAACTTCTCTAGATGGCAAGGTAATTTCATTGTTTTTTTAAATTAGTATTTTAATACAAGAATAGATAGATGAACTTCCATGATGTCTAAAAAATAAGCAGGGCTGGGCCCAGTTAGTACTTTAAACGGGAAATTTCTAAAAAAACAACAACTGGCTAATTAGGAAGATGAAAATAAATGTTCAGAAAGAAGGCAGTAGGACAGCACTTCTGCACTGTTGACAAGAAATCACAATTTTTATGTTGGTGAAGCTTTCATGTCTTAAGCCACAGTGGTTGCAGATAAGCCTTGACTTACAATACTTCATTCAGTGACCATTTGGAGTTACAACGGCACTGAAAAAACCCAACCTATGATCATTTTTCACACGACCATTGCAGCATGGTCATATGATCAAAATTCAGACTTTGGCAGCTGACTCATGTTTATGACGATTGCAGTGTCATGTGATCACTTTTTGCAACCTTCTGACAAGCAAAGTCAATGGGGAAGCCAGATTCACTTAACAACTGTGTTACAAATATAACAAATCAGCGATCCATTTAACAACTTTGGCAAGAAAGGTCATAAAATGGGGCAAAACTCACTTAATAACTGTCTCACTTAACAACAGAAATTTTGAGATCAATTGAGGTCGTAAGTCAAGGACTACCTGTATAGATTAAATAGGCCATAGCATGACTGTGCCTTTCATCATGATCAACATATACATTTTCAGTTCACTCTACTTGTTTTTCCAACTTGAATTTTTGGTTTAGTTATCCCCCAAGTGCACAAACACAATGAGGCTCATGAACCACAAAGTATAAAATTCAAATTGTTATTTAAACAAATGCATGCCTTTTCAATTTCAAGCAGCCGATTCCAGCAATTTAGTACATAAGGGCTGCTTGAAAATCTAATCAAAACCAACTTTTCATTTGTGGCAAGTAGGTTGCATGCATTTTGGGGGCTGGGGGCAGGGATTTCTTTGGGCAATTTCAAACCATCCCACATTACAAGAATGTGGGCTTCCTCTTATTTTTTTAAGACACTGTACTGGACTCTTCACCCAATCAGTTAACCCAAACGGAAGAATATTTGTCTCTGGAAGATACTGGATTCTTCATCAATACTAGCTCTGCTCCTCTGCTGAGACCAGAAAGAAAGGTGGATGTTATCCTACATTTAAATTACAGCTCAGGATCACAGTCTTTGGTGAGAATTGCTTTTATGTTGTTATTTTTCATCCTATTTTTTTAAATATGGATTCTCTGTTTTCATTGACTTATTTCAACATAATTTTTATCAAAGATTTTTTCAACAAGCTATAAACAATAGAAATACTAGAAAAGAAACAGAAAATAGGGAAGAATGGTGAATGCAAGAAATAAAATAGAAAAAGAAAAAAGAAAAGATTAGAAAGAATCAGTTTAGGATCTGTTTGACAGGGGTCATGCACTTGTATCTTATCCTCTGTCTAAAGTGACATCATAATTTCCTTCTTTCCATAAATTAACCTTTCTAATCTTCAAACCCATAAATCACAAATTAATCCCATATAAAAATAATCTTCCATGGCTGTTTTCTATGGTTGTCCATTAATCCCAGCAACAAAAATTCAAGTTTCAACTAAATGTTGATAGCTAAAAAAAATTGTACCATTATATGTACTTGAATATAAACATTTCTGTCCTATTTTACAGGTCCGCCAAATATGACACAAAACCCCTTTTGTTCATATTTTCAGCATAAATTTGAAGAATCTTTACATATTCTAGACAATTTTTCTTGAATCATATACCAATGGTACAACATTTCATAAACATTCTCATTTAGATTACAACAGACATGTCAAACACAAGGCCCGGGGGCTGGATGCGGCCCGCGAAGTGGTTTCATGTGGCCTGCGAAGCCATCTTGGAAACAGTGAGGGAACGGCCCCCTCTGCCTTGGCCCTGGCCCAGGCCAGCCGGGAGCCAATGTACAATTTTGTGGTGGCCCTCTATGCTGAAACGCATTCAGTCTTAGCTCCATAAGCTCTCCCTCCTGCATGGCCTGAGAGGAACAGTGAGGCTCCTCCAGTGGACCATGCCTTGGCACTTGCCCCGGTCCCACCCCCTTCTGCCAGAGACCCTCAGATCTATCCCACTCCTGCCCAGGCCCTCACAAGCACCCTTGACACAAACAATGTAGAGCTGGCCACACCACCCAGTAGGCCACACCCACTTCATCCATGCCCACCCAGTAGGCTGCACCCACCCTGGCTGTTGTGGCTCCGTCTTGTGAGCCCCTCTTATCAGAGGAAGAAGGTTCCGAACATGAAGGAGAGGAGATGGCCAGGCCTCCCTCTCCAGGACCCTCCTCTTTGGCAATGCCTCAGGTGTCTCCCAACGGAGAAAAGATTGACCAGGAGCCAGGTGGTTCTGAGATTGGCCAGGAGCCAGGTGTTTCTGAGATTGGCCAGGAGCCAGGTATTTCGGATAGTGATGAAGATACATTGTGGCTGGATCCACGCCAGCGTAGGAGCGACAAGCGTGCGCAGCAGAAAAGGAGACGTGCCAGAGATTAAGCTGAGTCACTGGACCACACCCCACAGGCTATAAAAGGGAGGTGGTGGCCATTTGGACTCTGTGACGGACAAAGCTAAATCTCTGGTGAAGTAGTTTGCTGTGGACTTAATTTCTAACTGTGTGTATTGTTTTTTGTTCTCTGAGTAAAAGTCTTGGCAGGCAGCTACGGAGCTGCTGCCAAGTTTTCTTATCTGTGGCGTGGAGTGTGGAGAAGTTATTTAACCCTCGGCTGGCTGTTTGGGTGGGTGTGTCAGACGGGGACAGAACACCTGGCCACACCCACCCAGCCCCCTGAAGGCAACCGCAATGCTGATGCGGCCCTCAATGAAGTTGAGTTTGACACACCTGGATTACAACATTTAAGACTAAGCAGCAGGCTGCAAAATTCAACTTCATATCAGGCAATCTGAATCTCCCAGTTCTTTTGCATCTTAAGATACAAGTAGTCCTCAGCTTACAACCACAATTGAGCCTAAAATTTCTGCTGCTAAGTGAGGCATTTGTTAAGTGAGGTTTTCCCATTTTACAACCTTTCTTGCCAGTGGTTAAGTGAATCACTGAAGTTAAGTTAGTAACATGGTTGTTAAGTGAATCTGGTTTCCCCCTTGACTTTGCTTGTCAGAAGGTTGCAAAAGGTGATCACATGACCTTGAGACACTGCCAAGCATCTAATTTTGTCAAGCATCTAATTTTTATCACATGACCACGGGGATGCTGTAATGGTCATAAGTGTGAAAAATGGTCATAAGTCACTTTTTCAATGCTATTGTAACTTCAAATGATCACTAAATGAACTGCTGTAAGTTGCGGACAACCTGTATTTTATATTTAAAATATAAATATAAATATGGGTTTTTTCCCTTGCCAGTCAAGCTTAGATATATCTTTCTCCCATTGTTTAATTGATAATCAGTTATTATAAAGGGCATTGTTTGAAACAAAAACATTATTCTTGGCAAAAGAAACTCTCCCCAACAATGACAATTCTAATCCCATCTTAACATGTCCTTCTTGATTTCATTCTGGTACAATATATAATTCATGTTAATCATAGCGATAGACAAGTATTTCACTTTTTTCTTGATTTGAAAACCATTTTCCCCCATCAATTCCATTTGTTTTTCCATTTTTCACATTCTGTCAATGCTGCTAATATCGGATTTTTTGCTTTGACAACAGATGAAAAAGCAGCCATTTTCTCTTTTCCTTTTTCTTGCTTTTAGAATTAGTTGGAGCAGGGAGGGGGGATTGGGATGCGAGCTCAGTTAGCCATAATAATAACCCTGCCGTGGGAACTCAAGGACAAACTGGGTCCGGAGCTGATAATGTTTTGGCAGGCTGGAGAGCTGGGGAGAAAGCCCGCACTATAAGCTAATTGGGGAATGTGCTTTATGACAGATTATTGAGGGTGGGAATTGTACTTTGAAACTTTGTATCCAGGGGAGGGGAATTTAGTTTTGGGTTCAACTATGTAGTGCCGATACTTTGTTTCCCAAATAAAAGACTCTTTAAGGAAAACAATGCCTCGAAGTTCTTTTGAACTTGGTTCTGTCAGAACCATGTTACATTCTTTGTTAACATCTTCATCTTTAACAAATCTTGTTAATTTTAAAACCAGCTAACACCCCCCCAAAAAAAAAATTATTTAGTTTTTCCTTTAATATTTCTATTCCTTCCAATGGGTCTTCCAAAATTATCACCAAGTGATTAGCAAACATAATTTATATATATTTCTCCATATCTTCACTCCAGTAATTCTTATATTTCTGTTCAATATTTCCAAAGCTACCATAAAAAGCAATGGTGATAAGGGATCTCCTTATCTATTCCCTTTCTATATCTCACAGGGGTTTGTTAATTTTCCATTAACAGTTAACTGTGTTGTTTGTGAGGTATAAATTGGTTTTACCCAGTTGATAAAATTCCTATCAATGTCCATATCTTCCAAAACGTTAAACAAAAAAGTCCATTCAAACTGAGAAAGACTATTTCTGTATCAAGAAAAATCAATGCTCTAGGCTTCTAATTATATTATTCTAAGTATTCCATAATATCCAATAATTTCTGAATTTGTACTTCAGCTGTATTTTAGGTATAGGTCCCTTCCACATTGACCTTAATGAATAAGGTTCTGTAAAGCTATTTACATTCTCTCAGCTAAAATCATTGTGAATAATTTATAATCATTACTGAGTAATGATCTTGGGTCATATTTTTTTGGTGAAGTTAAGTCTTGACCTTCTTTAGCGATTAGTGCTATATTAGCCTCCAACCTACTCTCCAGTATCTTTCCAGTCTATAATGTGTTTTGAAATGTTTATAATAATTCATCTTCAAAAAGTTTGCAATAAAAAGCTTGTAAACCATCTGGTCCAGGTGTTTTCCTTATTTTGAACTTTTTTTTTACAGCTTCACAAACTTCTCTTAATGTAATGGATCCATTCATTAATTGTTTTTCTGTGATTTTTGGTAAATTGTATTTCTTTAAATATTATATATTATATGAAATATACATTTTACAGTAGTAGTGATATTTTTTGCATCTTAAACTATCTGTTATCACACTACTTTCATCTTATATTTTTTCTTTTTCTTTTATTGTTTTTATTTCTTCAGTTTATTTGACAATCATTTCTCTGACTTATTTGCACACTCACAATCCTTTTGTTTTGCATGATTCATTTTTATCTTTATTAATAGTTTTATCAAAAAATATTTTTATTTCTTTTTACCTGCTTTCATTACTGTTTCTTTCTGCACTGTTTCACTTAACCTCCAATTGAGGGAATTGGTTTTCCTTTTATATACTAGTCACTGGATTGTGAATGGAAAAATGTTTTGGCCATATCTCCATTTTAAGAACACTAATAACCAAATTCTTAGATATCCAAAATATACGAATTCTTGAAAAAGATTTGAGTCTTTCAGAAAAATAGTGTATTATTTGATTCACCATTTTTGCATCTCCATGCATCTACAAGCTCTAGATTGTTCATCATGTAAAAAAAGTTTGGTAATTTATCTTATTTTGTTTTAATATCTTTCCCAGAGGTTCTGTTCTGTTGTGGACAAACTACTTCATTTCAATCTTAATGTTAATGACTTGTCATTGTCAGCTCATAGGCAAATTTTCTCCATGACAATCTGTCCCTAGCCTGATCTTTTAGGTGTTCCATATCTTTCAACAGAGCATCCATGGAACTGAATCTATCCACCTTGTTGCTGGTCAAACTTCTTTTGTTTCCTTCTATCTTCCCCAGTATTAGACCCTTCCACAGAAAGTCTTTAAACAGTCCTAAATTAGGATTTGAGCCTGCTAATTTATGCCATGAGTGAGAACTCTGGGTTGATTTGTTTGATGATCCATGTGTTTGTTTTCTTGGTTGTCCACGGTATTCTCAGGAGTCTTTTCCAACACTAAAGTTCAAAAGTATCAATACTCCTTCTATTTGCTTCTTCAAAGTCCAAATTTGCTTTCATAGAGGGATTGCTTGCACAATTCTAATCTTTGTAGATGTAGACCCCACATGGCATTTGAATATATTTTCCAAAGCATTCCTGACTGCTCTACCAATACTAGTCTATGGCATATTTATTGCCTCCTTGTTCCTTTACTGTTGATGGTTGATCCTAAAAGGCAGAAGCTATCTACCACTTTGATATCTTCATTATCAGTTTCAGGGCATGTTGTTCTACCTATTGTCATTAGCTGGCGTTCTTTATATTTAATTTTAGTCCCATTTTTTTCATTGAGCTTCTTGACATTTATTATTGGAGCTTGCAGATTTTCAATTATAATAATCCTCACCATAACACAGGTTATTGATGTTTCTTCCTCCAATTTTATACCACACTCATCTTCTAATCCACCTTCCCTTAATATATATTCAGCATATAGGTTGAATAAAAAGGGGAGACTATACAGCCTTGTCATACTTCCTTCCCAAACCTGGAGCCAATCTTCTTCACCATGTCTTATCAATACTGCAGCTTCCTGGCTTCTATATAAGTTTCCCATGAAGACAATGAGATACTCTTGGATTCCTATTCTTTTGAGCACTTTCCACAGCTTGACATGATTGATACAATCAAAGGCATTTCTAAAATCAATAAAGCATACTGATATCTTTAGGTATTCTTTGACTTTCTCAATTGTCGAGATCCATCAGCAATAATGTCTCATGTTCTTCAGGCTTTTCTAAAGCCAGATTTAGTATCTCACGCATGCACTATTATATTTATTTATTTCTTTTATCTAGCCCCTGGAGCGATCATGCAAGTACTATGCAGATCGAGGAATCCCATTTCCCAAAGCTGTCCTGAAGGATGATGACAAACATCTGAAGGAATGCTATTTATTTGAAGATGCTGAGAATCCAGCAGCACCAATATTATTGTTCTTTCCACAAGTGAATGATAGTTTTCACTACTACAAAGCCCCAGGTATTTCAATATTATAATTATTATTTTTATTATTAATGTAGCAAAGCAAGATGTACACACTACATTGCATAATGTAGTGCACAATGATTTACAGAGTGATGTAATAAAAAATGCTACATAAAATACCATATTTTGCAACATAGTGTCCACAGATGTGTTACCCATATTGACTTTGACCCATAATTCAGTATTCTAACTCCAGCACCTTGAGACTAGTTTGAATATGAATGAGATCAAAGGGAACACAAAGAGAAATGGGGTGGAGAAAGGTACACAGAACCTCTATTTTAGATCATGTTCTTTTCTTTTCCAAAATATCTTCTAAAAACCAAAATCCCAAATCCTTCTGAAATATCCAAATGTAACTGCACATTGGAAGACATCTCCATTATTCATCTATCTGTCTGTCTCTCTGTCTCTCTGTCTCTCTGTCTGTTTGTCTGTCTATCTATCTATCTATCTATCTATCTATCTATCTATCTATCTATCTATCTCATCTATCTAACAAAATACATACATACATCATGTTTTCAAAACACTATTTTGAAAAAAACAATTATCATGTATATTCACAATAATCAGTAAAGGTCTAAAATAGAACAGCCTCAAATTGCTGTTACAGGTAGATGCAGTACTTTCATCTACATCCCTAATAGACACTGATGATAATCTCATTTAAATAAAATCCATTCAAACAATTTTTTATTAGAAAACACAGGCAGTATTGTCATTGTATAAAGACATGCCTCTTCTCAGTTTCAAGAGTGCTTGCATTCTCAAGTGAACTTTCGGCCCTTGGTTCTTTCTGAGCTTGTTTATTTTGTTTGTTTGTTTTTGTAGATGTTTCATTACCAAACTAGGTAACATCAATGCTAGTAGCTACCCATTCCCTACAAACACTGATGATATTATCTGGTTTAGTATTGAAATGTCTGCAAGAAAGCAGCCAAGCTCAGAGAGCACCAAGGACTCCACAATTCAACCCTGACTACAAATAATTCTTTTCTATAGGTATCAAATGGACATATAAGGAAAGTCTAAGTTGTCTTTATAGTAAGTTTTGGTTTGGACAATTTACATATCAATTCCTCCCCCTTCCCCCTTTTTTAGGTGTCAAACGCTCTGAATCAGAAATGAAATACGGTAACGTTGACATCTCCTATAACAGCACTACATACTCAACGTACTCAATGACATTCACTGAGGAAGAATATGATCAGCTGATAGAACTGAGTGAATACAATGTTCTAAATAACCAACATCTGATTCTTCAGGCACTGAATAGGGCAGTGGAACGGAAAAAAAACCCTTAAGAAATAATCAACTTCTCTGTGTGGCTGTGTATACAGAATGTGAGGTGGAATATAGATGTGCATATTTTGACAATTCATGAATCTAAGCCAATTCCATTTTGACCCCAACAAGAAACTGCTTGAGGTCCTCCTTTCCTAATTTTTTTCGGGAATAGCTAGTGCTGCAAGTCAATGTATCAGACTTCTACAAACAAGAATCCATCTGATCAATTTCCTTATTTTGAAATATCATTAGTACAATACTATGATCTTTATGATTTAGATACCAGTTCTGAGCCTTATGTCTAAGTTTGTTGCTACCATGGGATACATTAGAAGCTGCCTTCAATAATTGCTCATGATGCTTATAGCACATTACTCAGATATAAGTCACCCTTCATTTGAAATAGTTTCAAAGACCAAGGACATCTGATTGACACTTAGCATGCTACACAAATATTACCCATCCTATGTGATACACAATTACTAGAAAGGCAAGATAGTAAATATTTATATAAATAAAAAAATGTTCTGAGTCCCAGTGTCATTTCATGAAATAATCCTCTATTTCCTTAAAGATTTAGCATGGAACCCACGTAGTCTCAAAACAGGAGTTCCCAAACTTCATAATACTGTGAGTCCCTACAATGAGAAAGTGAATCTGAACAAAATTATTGATTTTCTTGTGGTTACAGGGGATTAAAAAACACCACTTTTAATCATTAACATTTAACTTCTGTATCAAATAAATAAGGATAGAAATGCACAACTGTATTTATAAAACATATGTCAATAATTTTTAAAAATATTAGAAATCAGCAAAAAAAAATTATTAAGCCACATTTTTAATGAGACGGATGAACTTGCGTACTTTTGCATAATCCCTGAAATCTGAATTTCATTTTAAAGATGCTCTCATTCACAAAAGTTGGGGGGGGGAGAGAAATGGACATTTCCTTGGCTGAAATCAGTTTCTCTTCTCTTTAAATGGTGGAGTTTACAAAACTTCCACAAGCTGTATGTTGCTTTGGTCGATAGGCAGTGGATAGGCAGTAATATACCAATAGAGGAGAATATTTGCCGCTCACAGTTGGAGGGAGGGGTTATTGGGACTCTCTGAGCTTGGTTGTTTTCTTGCAGACGTTTCATTACCCATCAGCACTGATGATGTTACCTAGTTCAGAGGGTAATGAAACATCTGCAAGAAAACAACCAAGCTCAGAGAGCACCAACGACCTCTCATAGGCAGAAATGGCAGAATTTAGCAGCATCTTCATCTTGGCCATATTATGCGTGGCAGTCAAAGGCAGAGATGGAATGTGTGTGTGGGGGGGAGAGAAAGATAGGCAGGTGGGAGGAGTTCACATAGGACAAAAGAAACAAGTCAGTCACTTGTTGTAGGGTTAGCTCTCTGTTTATATACAAGCAATGTATTGACTCATTTCCAGCACTGACGATACCACCTAGTTGGGTGATGAAACATTTGCAAGAAAACAATCAAGTTGAAAGAGCATTAAAGACCCCACACCTCTTTTGAAGTTCTGAGTTCTTAAAAAGCTGAGCTGCCATTTAGGTTTAAGCTCAGCAGGCCACTTCCAGGGTCTCCCCCCCCCCATTGCCATAAGTGTATACTATAGGCCAGGGCTTTTCAACCGGTGGTACGTGTACCACTGGTGGTACGCAACCACCTGGCTGGTGGTACGCGGCGTCACCTTCCTCCCCTCCACAGCATCACCTCCCCCCTGCTCCGCTCCTTCCCAGCTCGCTTACTTGTGGAAAACATGCTGCTTGGCAGCGGCCTGCAGGAACCCTACTGAGGGCGCGCGAAGAGCGCAGGTGCAGAGCAAGGCCCCGCCCTCCCCAGGGACTTGTTGTGCAGCAATCGGATTGACTTCTTCTCGTGCAGGATCCATGTCGCCCTTCCCCCCCCTCTTCTTACTTCAGAAGCAAGCGCGAGCCTGAAGGGGACAGAGCCATCCACTCCCTCGGCAGGTCAGTGTTTGAGACCGTTGGTGTCGTGGCCCTGAGCGCCAACCTCACAACTGCCCCCTCCTTCTTTTCCCCCTTCTCTCTCTCTCTGTTGCAGCCTCTCTTCCATTTTCTTTTCCTCTCCCCCCTCCCGTGAGCTTGCGATACCCTTCATGGCCCTCATGTTGCCTCCCATGGCTTGAGTCTTTTCCCCTCTCCTCTTCCTGAGATGCCCGGCTTTACGGGGGAAAATGCAAAGTGGCCAGATGGTGCGCGCCCTCCCAGAGAACTCATCCTGCAGCAGCAGGTGGGAATCCAGGCCGTTTGTTTTGTTTATGCGCGCCAGGCGAAGCCATCAGAACACGGGTGTGGAGGGAAAAACGTGCCCGCCTGACTCCCTCCCCCCCGACTGTTTCACAGCAAGTAACCTTTCACCATCTCCACCACGGCCAGCTGGCCCGCCCACCAGTTTCCCCTTTCGGGCCAGGAGAAGCGCACAGCATTGCCTATATCGCAGGCTTAAAGGTTTTTTTAACTTGCTGCTTTTAGGGGCAGTGTAAAGGCAATTGCGTCCATGTGGTGAGTGTCTTGGCCGTCTTCCTTCCCAGCTCACTTGCTTGCAGAAAGCGAGCGAGCAAGATTGCCAGGAGCCAGGGTAAACAGGCAGGCATCTCCTGCCTGCTTTGCACGGGGTGAGCCTGGAGAGATGCAGGGCTGTAATAATTTGCCTGAAAGTCGCTGGAAGTGTTTGGCTGGGGAGTGGGGGAGGAGGGAGAGGACATGGCTCTGGCAGGTCTTGGACTGGTGTTGTGCTTTGTGTGTGTGTGTGTGTGTGTTTGTGTATGTGTTGTTTGGGCTTGTGCTCAGAAACCCAAGAAAACAACCAAGTTCAGAGAGCACCAAGGACCCCTCATGTCAACCCTGAGCTATAAATACTCTCCTTTATCAGTTGAATCAAAGTGTTATTCTTTTCATTATTTCTCAACTTTACTGCACCCTTCTGGGTTGCATTATCATTATCATCATCTTAACTTTATTGCAGTCATTAACCAGAACAAAAGAATTGGCATTCAAATACTCAGAATATCCAAAAGTAAAGTGAGAAATTCAGAATGGAAATTCAGGCAAACATTTTGGCTAAAAAACAATATCAAATCAGAATATGTTAAAAGGGCTTATCATACTACAGATATACAACAAGATGAAATTTAAATATGCAATCTGAATAATATGAACTTGGAATAGCACTGTAAAATATGAATATATGCACAAATACATATGCATATTCATATACATTCTCCCTCTCCCTTTCTCATACACACACACACACACACACACACACACACGTAGCCCGCTTAACCTGGGGCTTCACTTAGCAAGCAGCATATTTGCCTTTCAGAGTATAAACAGTAACATGCCTATTGAAAAATTTGGTTTCCCTCCTGCCCACTCACAATAGTAACAACTTTTGGAGTGTCTTTTATGGTGGGTTGTAGTTCTTACACATCCTTTATATTGGACTTAACACTGCTCATCTTAATTATTACAGTAGCGGAGAGAGAGACAGAGAGACAGAGGGACAGACAGAGAGTGAAAGTGAGAGTGTGTGTGTGTGTGTGTGTGTGTGTGTGTGAGAGAGAGAGAGAGAGAGAGAGAGAGAGAGAGAGAGAGAGAGAGAGAGAGAGAACAGCCGACCAGCCACCTGACCATCAAGGTAGTAGTGCATATTAATATGGAGAAATTCCTCATACATTCATCAGTGCAAAAGTAAAGTGATTCAGCAAAGGAACCACCACCGAAGAAATCAAAACTGGCACCAAATCGAAAATACAATGAACATTATTTGAAGTTTGGATTTTATTTCCTGGAAGAGAATGATCAGCAGCTTCCTGTTTGTGTTATCTGCAATGAAGTATTATCCAAGCATTCCATGAAGCCTTCTTTGCTCCAGAGACATTTTACAACAAAACATAAAAAGCACACTGAAAAGCCAGTAGCATTTTTTGTGAAGAAGAGAGATGAATTTATAAAACGCCGTGCTGCTTTCGTGAAGGCCACTACCATCTCCAAAAAATGTCTGGAAGCATCTTACCAATTGTCCTTGATAGCAGCTAAACGAAATAAGCCTCACACAATTGTGGAAGAAGTCGTGATTCCCTCTGCCATTGCAATTTCTTCAATTCTCTTTGATGGAAAAATGACTGGTGCTATTCGTAATATTCCATGTTCTGATAACACCATCCAAAGACGAATACAAGATATGGCCACAGATGTTATTCAACAAGTGGTGGAAAAAATCATAGCAGCAGAAACATTTGCATTTCAATTGGATGAAAGCACTGACATCGCTGGTGAGGCCCAATTAATTGTCTTTGTGCGTGTTCCTAATTCAGACGATATACACATATTATTCTGCCGCCCACTACCTGGCAGAACGACTGGGGAAGAAATATTCACAATAATTGACAATTTTTTCAGTGAATATGGAATATTATGGACTTGGTGTGTAGGAATTTGTTCTGATGGTGCACCAGTTCTTACAGGAAGAGCTTCAGGGATGATAACACGAGCTAAGGCAAGAAACAGCTCCATTGTTTCAAATCATTGCATCTTGCATAGACATGCACTTGCTGCTAAACGGATGAGCCCAGTGTTACATGAGACTTTGGCGGATGCTGCAAAAATAATAAATTTCATCAAAAGCCGGCCATTGAATGGACATTTATTTCTGCAATTATGCAAGGATTTGGATTCTGAACACAGCACTCTTCTCTTTCATTCAGAAGTATGTTGGTTGTCAAGAGGTGAAACATTATCGAGATTATTCGAGCTACGAGATGAAACGCACCTGTTCCTGACAAATGTTTCATCATCCCTAGCAGAAAAGTTTAAAAATGTCTTTTGGGTATCCTGCCTTGCCTATTTGGCTGACATATTTAAAAAGCTAAATGAACTTAATCGGTTGCTGCAGGGCCACGGTCATAACGTGTTTGTTATGGAAGACAAAGTTTGTGCCTTCCACAAAAAAAATCTCCCTGTGGATAAGACAAGTA